CAAGCTCCATGTGCCCAGGAACCTTTAAGAGACATGCCCTCTACAGCACCCCCCCTCATCGCTAACGAGGGACGAGCGGCCTTCTGCCAGGGAGACCCCTCCCGCCAGCCGAATTCGGGTCTACGGCATGACAAGCCCTTCGTCAAGCTGGCTTGGTGCATGGCAAACCTGCTCCAAGCACTCCCCGAAGCTTCCCAGAGCAGCGTCGCCTACCAGGCTTTGGGAGCGGCTGGGCTGTTTCCTCCTCCTCGCTCTCCGAGGAGTCGCTGCTGTCCGAGCTTTCCTTTCCTTTGTTGGCCCCGGGGGGGCCAGCCGGGCTCGGTTTGGCCTTGTCTGCAGTGGGGAGAACCGCTTTTCCTGGGGTTGCAACAGGGCCTTTTCCCCTGGCGGACGTGCTCTTCGGTGGGGCAGCGTTTCCTTGAGGACCCTTCTTGGCAGGGGTGGCTGCTTTACTGAAAGGAGTCCCTGGCTTCAAGCAGGAGGGGAGAAGGGGCTGGAAGACAAATAGCGAGAGAAGTCAGGATGAACAGAGGTCAGTTCAGAAAACCCTGAACAAGAGGGAGCCCCCAGGGTCACGTCAGAGCAGGATGGCCTTGCAGGCGAGGCCACGGTGATGTAAAGTCCGCTCCCCGGTGTTACAAGCCGTAGTAAAGCTGTTTAAAACAACCAGTGCCTCATTTTCCCCATAGGCAGAGGAGACAGGGCCACCTGCCTCGCCCGGGCAAGGTAGAAGCTCCCTTAACGGATGCGCCTGGCAAATTAAGTCTCAGGCTAGAAACTGAGACGGGATCGGAGGGTGCAACCTCCAGCGGGTGACCGGGGCCGCACTGCTTGTGTTCTTGTTACCCCTCAGCCCACGAGAGGGGGGACATGCAAGGGCTGGGCTGGAGGAAGCGGTAGTTTAGGCCAGAAATGGAAGAGGGAACCAGGCAGTTCGATGCAAAGGAAGGGGGGGAAACGGGATGCAGCACGGAGGGGAAAGGACCCGGCACGTGAGGTGCAGCCCTGCACGGTGATCAGACGTGGCGCACACGGGAGCTTTCAGGACAAGGCTGCCGCAAGGACAGAGTCTGAAAGAGGGAACCGCAGCCCTCCTCGGTGAAGGCAACAGGGATTTTCTTCTTGTGCTCCTCTGCTCTGCCTACTGGTTCCTATAAAAGCGGCTATGAAAATAGCCCTGCCTTTCCCCCTGCCTTCACACCACCCCCTCAAGGGGGAACCTCCACCGCGACGAGCCTACAGACACCGGGCACAATCCCTGCTCCTGCATCTCCCTGCGGGAACAGGCGCACGGCCCTGCTCGCACCTGGCTCGTGGCCTTCGCTTCCTCCTCGCTCTCCGAGGAACCCGAGCTCGAGGTCTCTGCTGCTTGGTAGAGCGTCACAGCGGCCTTTACAGGGCTGGGGGCCGCTGCGTTTGCCCCTTTCCGAGAGGTGCTGGCTTTCACAGCCACGGTGTTTGCCGTCTTCGCTGCTAGGGCAGCCGCTGCTGGTTTGGGTTTTGTCTGAACCAGTTTCTAAGAAAGATGTGAAAGGAGTCAAGTCAAGACTGAGCGTGGGTTAAGGACGTGCAGACAGACAGGCCGACCGGCCCCTTCAGAGTCAACCAGGAAGGACAGGGAACTCAGCCCCATGCGTGGACATGGACAATCCTGATCTAAGCAGAGTCTCCACGTTCACAGGGAAGGAGCAGGGGTGGAAACCAGCCAGCTAGCTGCACAGCAGGACACCGGGCCCCTGTGAAATCCAGCCCCCTGCTTTTTTCAGATGCCAAATGATTACAGCAGCCATCGTCTCATCAGAGCCCAGGCCTACTACTTGCAATGGGGCAGACACAGCCGTGGCACAAGCACCAGGCAGAGAGCCGGGACCCCGTCGGCAGAGGCCGGAAGCAAATGCATACCGAGGAGGGTTGTAGGAGGAAGGACAGAGGAGCGGCAATCCGTGTCCTGGCATTCAGACACAAGCAGGGCTGCTGTGGGCAGCCTCCCCTGTTCCCGGCCCTTTGGGCAGGCCGGGGGCTCAGACATCCCTCGCAGACAGCATCTGGCATAAAAGATACCAGCCGGGGGCCAGGGACCCCATTTGCCTTTCCTCCGTTTGCAGCCATGATCCGAGAGCTCCAATTACAACAGCCACTTTATTTCATAGGATAATCTATATAATAAACAGGCTTTAATAAGTGGTTGTTCGCGCTGGCTGCTTGCCCGCCAGCGAGGGAGACCGTCGCTGTCTAGTTCTCTGCAGCACAGAACAACGCGGGCAGCTCCTTTCCGGCCGGCCGCGCCCAACAAGCACAGAGCTGTGGGCATCACAGGGCATGGCAACACCTGCATTTACACCGGCTTAAATTTGTTGTACGGTAAGTGGGAGTAGGTCGGTGTGTACACGTGCAGGTGTTAAAATGCATTAACACTGTGCGTGGACTGACTAGGGACTAACTTTCATCCCAACTCAGTCCGCACACAGTGTTACTGTCTAGTAAGGCACCTACATGTGCATTACTGCGTAGTAACTAATTGGGTATAAATTTAATACTTGCACGATGCAGGTATCAAATATAAGCTCAAGTCGGCGTAAAGTCGCCATATTTACTGCACAGTACAGGCACACACATGTAGACGTGTGCATGTACTGTGCAATAATTTTGGTTACTGTGCAGTAAATGTGCACATGTAGACGTGCCCCAAGACACCTTGCTGTAGCAGGACTAGGCCTGCGAGCAGGCACTTCCTCTTGTTGAGGCCACGCAGCCATCTAGTTGGCACGATTTCCAGTGGCTTGTGACCCGACCTGACCCGGAGCCAACTGGGCAGAGCCATGGCTGCACCTCTTGCGGAGCACGGCTCAAGACTTGTGCTTAGAGGGTGCTCCCCATTTTGGAGCGATCAAGGAGCCCTGAAGGCCAAGTGTGCCAGACAGAGGGTGTCTCATACTATCAACACCCAGCTCCACAGCCTCAGAGCCCCAGTGCTCAGCTGAGCTGAGCTTCCTCCCTGACCTCCTCCCCAGCCTCACCGCCTGGCTACCTGTGCCAAGGTCAGCGTGTCTTCCTCCAAGTCAGACTCCTCGCTGGAATCGTCGCTGCTCTCTGCAGCCCCTTGGGCTTTCGGGAGAGGTGTTGCAGGAGGCTGGGCCTTCTTACTACTGGTTGGCAGTGCTGCAGCACCCGTCTTCATTACTAGAAAAAGATCAGACAGAAGCAGGCTGCAAGCTGTTTGTCCAGAAAGAGTGGCTAGTGAGCTGGGAGGGTAGGGGGATAGATGTCTCGATGATTTAAGGGTTCTGCTTTGAGCTACAACTGATTGACAGAGAGAGGAAAAACCCAGCAGAAAGACATTTACTAGCAGGCAGCGGCTGCCAACAACTCCTTCATGGGAACAGTTTATCTTGCTGCCCCCGTTCCCCAGTGCCTTGGCTCGCTCGTTAGCGTGGCTCTTGGACGAAGTGACTCAACAGGAGGCAGCATGGAGAGGAAGCCTGGGGGACACCATGATTAGGAACACCACTGACAAGCCGAAATGGCTGGGCTCTGGAGCCAGAACAAGGGGAAAAAAACCCTCTTCTCCATTGTGCAAATAAACCGAGAGCCAGATGTGGGAGATATCATGTTATAGCTGCCCTCCTTACACCAGAGGGAGACCTTTCCTCCACCTGCATCAGCTGGGGGTGCCCGCGTGATTCCAGACTTCCTCACCCCACCCTTGCCCCAGTGCACCTCCCTTGTTGCCCTACCCTGCGCCTAGCTCATTCAACACTGTTGGCAAAGCCTTTGGATTGAGTCTCAGATGGAAAGCTCCAGAGCATCCGTTTGGCCAAAAGGCCCCTCTCTGCAGGTGCTGGCTGCAGGCAATGGGGAGCAGAGAGCAGTTTGCAGCTGACTTGCGGAGCTGACAGCTCCTGCCCCTCCAAAACAGAAGAATCCCCCTCCTCCACCCCGACCGAGCAGTCTAGGGAAAACGGAGCCGAGCTGCAAACAGGTCTAGCTCCGTCTAGCCACGGCCCAAGCTGAAGCCGAGAGGAGACGAGAACGAAGAAGACAGGCCCCAAATACCAACGCAGAAGGCTACGGACTTACTGCCTTTCAGAGGCTGTTTCAGAGCCGCGGGGGTCTCTTCCGCCTCGCTGTCTGACGAACCGCTGCTCTCGCTCTCGGAGCCTTTGCCCGTCAAGGTGCTTCCAGTGGCTCTCACAGGAGTCCCGGCTTTCACAGTCTGGCCGAGCTTGCTGGGGGACGCGAGCGGTGCTGGCAGCCTCTTGACCCCGCCCGCCCAAAAAACAAGACAGAAAACACAGTCAGGGATCATCACAGTCAAGAGGTTCAACGTGAGACTTGCCAGCGCGGTGCATCCCATACCCTCATGGCATTATCGACTGCTCCTTCCCTCCCCACACAATACGGGTCTGAACTATAATCATTTCGGAAACTAGTGAAATGCAGCTGCTTCTGGGGTGGGAGGCTGCTGCTATTTGCAGCGCAAAACTCTGGAGGAGTGCTTGGGACTGGAAGGGAAACAGGACAGATCCCTATCGGGATAAATCCGGGGATGACTGGGACCCCAGGGTTTACCCACCTAGTCTTCCCACATTGTCTCAGCGTTCTTGGTAGAAAGAGTCTCAGCACCTCCGAGAACAGCACCTCCCTACTGTCAGTCTCAAGTAAGGCTCAGTTTGAGGGGAGAGCCACTTCCTCTAGGCTTACCAGTGTCACACCGGTGTGAGCAAGGTTTCTGTTTTAATGCACTGACAGATCAGGCCTCCCAGGAGCAGAGACCTGACTCCACTCGCAGGGAACAGAAGGCAAAGCGAGAGGATTGCGAGAGCTGAAACGAAGCAGCTGCCTCCCCACGCTGGGAGAGCGCCAGAGAGCTCAGCACGAAAGGGAGGCCCAGCGCACTACTGCTAGGAAGGACTTTTTGCCCTGGGTGCCAAATGCTTCGAATTCATGTCCCGGCACATCAAAATAGAAACCTGCACGACCCCGCTCGGGCTGAGCCTCTGAGTGGCGGCTGTCAGCATCCAGCTTGCCAAGGCCCAAGGCAGCGCGCGCCCCACGTCTCCGAGCTCTGTGCAGCTGCCATCTTGACGGAAGAAGGTGCCAATTATTTCAGCACTCAAAATAAAATTGCCAGGTAAGACCTTTTCGCTCACCCCTCCCGGCTGCTTTGACAGAGAGAGCGTGTGCAAAGGGCTCCCATGGCCCTTTGGCTGCTTGCAAAGAGCAGGGCACATGAGCAAGAAGTCACCCTGTTTTGCAAGGAGTCCCGGGAACATGTTCTCCAGCCCTGCGTCCACTCAGCCGCAGAGCACAGCCTCCAGCAGAGCACTCAGCACCCCGCCTGCAATGCCAAAGAGCAAAGAGATTGGGCTGAGCGGGCGCAGAGTCGACCCAACCCGACCTACTTCCAGGGCAGCGTCCACCGGGCAGACTCTGCCAAGCTGGGGGAGCCTGTCCACCGAGGCCCCTGCGTCCACCCAGGAGTCCTTCTCTGCCTCCAGGAGCTATCCTCACTACACAGCCTGCAACATTGCTACCTGAAAAGTTCCTCCCTTGCCCGATCCCACTCCACCTATGCATTCAAACGAAGCTCCGGAAGCAGGTTGGCATCATTTGGAGAATGCACGGATGGGGTGGGCTCTTCTCCAGCGGCCAAGAGTTTGAGGACAGCTCTCAAAGCCAGCTGTCTGGCACAGCCCCGCGGAGCGCTACCAGTGGGGCAGTGTTTGCCGTGTCCTAGCCAAGCGCTGAGCAGACGACAGCATCTGCATGTTTATCCCCTCATTGCGCGGCTCTCCAAACAAACCAGGCATGCTCGGGCTCGGCACAGAAACCTCTACAAGAGGAGAGAGGAAGAAGTGGGTTCGCTGCAGTGTTTTGATTCAAGTGAGTCACTATCTCCAAGAGAGAAGCCAGCTTCGACACGGTGAATCAAGGGGGATTATTCGAAGCGGGCGCCGAGAGGGAGATGAATTGCCTACTCGGGGGTGCACTAGGCTCTCCGCTCCCGCAAGGCAGCTACCAGCTGTGGGGGATTTTTAAAGAGATTCAGACTAACTCACTCGGCTCTCCAGCTTCCTAGCAACGAGGCAGGCTCCCGCTCTCTTTCCGAGAGCAGGGTCTCGTGGTTAAAATGCGAGGAAAGAGCATGGAGGCACGTTACGTAAGGATGCACAAAGCTGCAGCAGGAGGATCTGGAAACAAAGGCAGATTGCTAGGCGAGAACAGGGCAGCCGAGCAGGGAAGACGCTCTGGAGGGATAAGACCCTCCCCAGCTTCACTGCCCCAAAAGGGATTCAAACCAGCAAGCGTGCTCTCCACGCCAGTTCTGCTGCAGCCGGTGCATCGAGACACGTGGGTACATTGCAAAACCGTCCCTTAAGAGAGGGATGAAGAGTGCCCTGGAGAAGACGGCAGCCCCTCTGCATGGCTCCGATGCCCATTCATGGCCCATCCTAGGGGCACCGCAGCCCAGTCAAAAGCTGACAGCCCTAGCTTCATTCAGGCCTGGGAGTGTCGCGTGCTTGTAGATTCAGGTGTTCAGGGGAGATTTTTAACCACAGCAAAAAGAAAGAAAGAAAAACCCACGATCAGGCACAAGCATCTCATGGTGGACGCCTATGAATGGGAGACACGCAGCCGTCCGCGGGGGCTGCTGAGGCTTTTGGCCTTCCTGAACGGGTGGGATTGGGCATCTCGCTAGAGAAGCCAGTGAAACTCTGCAACAGCTTCTTCAAGGTCAGTCTCATTCATTTTTCCAACCCCGAGGAGATATGCAAACACCCTGTCAATCCTTTGACTAAATATTCCTGAGTCTTCAGGGGTAAACATACCAATTAAGTAGTTCAATTTAGGCATGATGTTCATTTTAATTGTGCTAATCCACCCCCACAGTGAAAGATGAAGCAGCTTCCAGCTCCTTGTATCTGTTTGAATCTTGCTTAGAAGCAACAGGAAACGGCAGGATACAGTAAGTCAGTCGTTGGGCACATGCCCAAATACCTCATCTTCCCCATCTGGTAAGACAAGTTCCAGCGGGAGGGTGGGAGTGTGGACACAGATGAGGATGCCATGACTTCAAACGTCCCTGCATCCAGGGCGCTGCCTTAATGACAGTCAGCCTGTTTGAGTTTTGACAGACCTCCAATTTGATCACAAACTCTTCTTCGGCACCAGCAGCGGGTATGTGGGACTGAAAATTTGCAAGAACGGTGGCGCATGGAGACGCCGAATCGTTTAATTGCCTTCAGCAAGCAAGCCGGCGGCTCCAGTCACAGCATCATCTTCTTCAACTAATGCTAGGGTTGGGAAAATGCATTTTTTGCGTAACAACAGACTATCTTTGCTGGGTTTGCACGAATTCGGCGTGTAGCATAAAACCCCATCCACACACCATCCTTACTGAGGATCAAGACCTGTATCATAGTGCACCGGTGCTGCGGAAGGTAGACCGAGATAGTACCAGTCACGCAGATGCCCCCAAAGTCAGATTACGGCTATGAAAGGCCACATGCAATTCTTATTAAATATTTCACTGGTCTACAAAGAGGAATGGATTGACTGGGACTGAGCTCTCGGAGAGACAGGGTCACAACCTTGTACGTCCCCCTGGGCGGCATCAACGTTCGGTTAGAAGCAACCTGCTTTGCTCTGGGGTTCTCCTCGCCCCGAGTTTAGGCTGATTTCAGTCCTCACGCTTTTAAACAACAGGAGACTTCGCACAAGCTCAAGATTAAAGTGATGGCTCCGTTTCTGGTCAGGAAGGAATCTCATCCTGGCAAAGACTGCTGGGTATATTTTGCCTCTCTCAGTAGCAAGGGGTGGTATCCACTTCCTGGGACCACCTGATCCTATTTTACCAGCATCTTTGGACGGGTGTTGTTCTTTCCACCCCAGCATCTAAGTGCCCTGCTGCTACACCGGCCAGGGGGCTTGGTTTTCCCCATGACATACTGTTGAGTTTGCTCACCGGGTGTTACGTGGTGGCGGTGTGGGCAGGGGCTTCTTTTGGACAAGATTTGCTTCAATGGCTGGCGGCAGTCACAGGGGACTGGGTACAACGACTGGGGAGGTCTCCTCCAGCCTCGCGTCCCTATGTACTCAACCATCTGAGCGACACACCCTGGAAGTGCTTGGGACCCTCCAAGAATTGGCTTCTACTTTACAATGAAGTTTTGCAATGACTTTGGAGTTGGCTCTCTCTGGCAGCAGCCGGTTCTGTGAAAAACAGAGTCCTAAAGAGGCGCCAAAAATGTTGTAACCACAAACTAGTCACTTGGAGGCTGCTTAGCTCATGCAGCGCTTCGAAAGGAGAGGAAAGAAAGAGTCAAGTCAGAAAGATTCATGGCAGCTCTTCTAACCAAGAAGGTGGAGGAGGGATCTCTCACTCAAGGGCTGAAATTTCAAGCACCATATGGTCTTAGCATCCTAAGAATATCAGTCTACTCAACAAAAACCCCCCACAAACCCCCCGCCATCCAAACCAGGAGCTACACACCAAGTCCTAGCAAAAGTAACAATCTCCCAGCAAGCAACCAACCCACCTTCTGGCTTATCGGCACAGGGGGAGCCTCATCCTCGCTGTCTGAATCATCGCTGCTCTCTGAACTATCTTGGGGCTTCGTGCTCACAGCAGCCTTTGTAGGGGTGTTGTTCTTCCCAGGCACTGGTTTGGCCTGGTTTAGTACAGCTGGTTTAGGTGTTTGCTTTGCCAGGACTGGAGTGGCCTTGCTGGATAGCAGAGCCACTGGCGCACTTTTCGCCGGCGTCAGGCTGGCCTGCAGAGATTTTGCAGGTGATCTGGTCTAGAGCCAAGAGAAAGCAAGCGGTGTCAACAACAGCCATCCCAGGACGACCACTCATCCGCCCAGGTTAAGGCAGAAGGAATTAAAATGCAAACGCAAGATTTAGAGTCCCAAGGTTGGATAAGCAGCAAATGCCAAGAGGACAAGTGACCGGCCTGAAGAGCACCCGGTCTGCCAGGGCGAGGGAGTAGCGGGAATTCCTCACTGGCTTTCTGGTATTACTGGTCACAGCCACACAAACGATGCAGATGCCAAGAGAGTTTCCAACTCCAAGGCATGGAAAGCAGGGAGCTAAAAAGGACCAGACCTCTCATGCTAAACAAAGCAACAGAAGCCTGGTCTGATACTGCAGGTTCGATTCTCAGCCTCTGTTCACAGGGCATATGTAACCTGTGGCATGCGGAGAGCTGCAATTCCCACTTTTGGGAAGGAGAAATTTCTGCATTTTACGTTAACGTGACAGCAATAATGGATTCCCGTCTTTTAAACAAAAATACAGGATCCATGGGCTCCAAATCGCCACCATGGGCTTGAAGTTTGGGGAGGATATAAAGTTGGAACTATGACCGGGCATTACACCATGATTCAGTTACAAAGTTCCTGGTGCACAGGGACAGGGGAAGGGTGGGGAAGAGAGCGTCTCAAACCGACACACCTGTGCGGCGGATGTGGGTTCCTCGCCCTCGCTGTCGGACGAGTCGCTGCTCTCTGAAGCATCGTCTGACTTTGCGCTCCCAGCAGCTTGTGCGGGACTCGTGAGCTGCACGGGTGCAGGACTCGTGAGCTGCACGGGTGCCGATTTGGCTGCGATGGCCGCAGACTTCCGCAGGGACAGGGCGGACCCTTTCCTTGGGCTCTTCGTGGTTGATGCTGGAGTGACGGGCGTGCTTTTCGTCGGGGTTGCATTGGTCTGTGCTGCTTTCACAGCTGGTTTCGCCTAGAGCCAAGAGACTGGTATGAACAAAAAAGCAGTCCCAAGACGGCACAATTCACCTGCTCACGTTAGACACAAGGGATTAAGATGCAGATATGAGGAGATTCTCTAGAGTCCCAATGACCAAGATGGGGTGAAAGCCAGTGACCAGTCTGAAGAGCAAGTCACCGTCTGGCAGCGCAAGGGAGAAGCTGGAACTCCTCGTGGGCTTTCCGGTGCCGCTGGTCACAGCCACGCAAACGATGCAGGGAGAAGGCAGCTCGTGCCAAGAGAAGTTTCAGCTCCCCAAGACGTGGGAACCCAATGGCTAAAAAGCACCAAACCTCTCCCACCCGAGCAGAGCAGCAGAAACCAGGTCTGACTTCTCGGGTCTGAATCTCAGTGCAACAGGTCACCTGCTCACCGGGCATGTAGGACCCCGGGCCTGCTTAGAGGTGGAATTGCCATTTCTGGGTGGGAGGGGGGAGGAATTCCTGCATTTTCTGTTAAGAGACTGAATCTGCTGCAGCTGCTTGAGGTTTGGAGCAGAAACAACCTAGAAACAACCATTAGCTACCTCATTACAAGCACACCCTGACATTGCACTGTCATCCAGCTACATCTTTCATTCATAAAGACTTCAAGCCTTATAGTTTCATAGTAGCTAGGGTCAGGAGGGACCTGAATAGATCATCCAGCCTGACCCCCTGCCACAGGCAGGGATGA